CTGCTACTGCTCTGGGCCCGGATGCCATCTTCAGCCATCCTCCCTGGGTTTCAAGCAGGTGGTGGGGTAACACGTGCCAGGCAGGGAGTGCTGAGCACCTCACCCTCGGAGAGCTCCCTGCAGGGCCCGGCTGCAATGGGTTCAGGCACACACGCCCGTCCGTGTGTGAGGAAGGCAACCAGGGGCCAGGGGACTGGACGGCATGGGCTGGGGGTGTCCATCTGCCTCCATTGCAGGGTGGGGGTGGTCTTCTCCATCTGGACGCTGTCCGGGACTGAAGCTCTCAAGAAGAGAGCTATACCTGGCCTTCGCCCTCCTGGGTGCCAGGGCACTGGAGGACTCCTCTGTCGCTCCCCAAAGTGGCTGTGTAGCTCTTGTAGAGTTGCAGATGGAGGATGAACTGTGCTGGCCCTGGCTGGGTGGCGTCCCCATGACCTAATTTCTAGGTCCCCCCTCCATTGTCTGCCCTTGAGCTCGGGCCCCAGACTCCATCCCTTCCTCTTCCCCTCCCGCTCAGCCCCTCTGCCAGCACTCCCTTCTCGGAGCAGGTGTTTCAAGTCCCAGCTTGCAGAATCTGGAAGCCAGGACACATGTCTTGGGGCCCATCCCACCTCCCACCCACAGCTTCAGGGCTGTACCATCCGGCCAGCCTCCAGCTTCCAGGCCATGCCAGTGTCGAGGGATGACAGAGGAGGGAGCAAGCCTCAGGAGGTGCCCAGGGTGCGGCTGGCGGCGACCCTGGGGCGTGGAGGGATTTACAGAGGAAGGGCCCGGAAGCCCCTGGGCCTGGGCCCAGCCCCGCCTTCCTCTGCCCTCTAAATGCCCCATGTTCCCAAGGACAGCCTCCGTCCCCCGAGTGCCCTGCTTGCTCAGGCGAGGCGAGCCCCTGTAGGAGCCCCCATCCGTCCGTCCGTCCGTCCGCTGCTCCCCCTCCTCGGGGTGTCTCGGATTCGCAGACTTGGGTTTCAAGAAGCACAATGGCCGTATTCTCCAGCTCTGATTGCCACAGGCCCGGCCTGTGGTTCCCTTCGAGATAGAGTTTCCTGTGCCTTGGCCGCTCCGGAATCCCAGCGGAGGGGGGCCGGTGCTGGGGAGGGCCAGAGTGTCCCCTCCCATGAGAAGACGCTGTGACTGCCAGAGGCGCCCACACCTGTCTGTGGGGCTCTTGCCAGCCGCCCCCCATAGCCAGTCAGTTAAAGCCTGCAGTTAGGGGGGCTCCTCTCTGCGGGCCGTGGGGGTCCCCCCTCTCCTCCTCCCTCTGCCTTCTGACAGGGAGATGGGCTGGTGACACTCCCAACTGCTCCCAGGGCCAGGCGCCTCGCACAGCCCCCAGAGTGGGCAAAGTCGGAGGGGGCGGCCAGCTGCAGCCCCTTTTGCAGAACAAGTTTATTGCGAGTGGAGCCCGGGCAGAGTTGGCTACAAGGAATAGACATTCCTCCCTCACTTAGCGGGAGCCATAAATTTCCCCACCTGTAACTGGGGGGGAGGAATACACACACACATACACTCAAGTGTGTGCTTCATCCAGGTTTGGGTATTGTGCCAGGGGCTCGTCCTGGCAGCAGAGCAGGACCAGAAGAGGCCGTGTCCCACACACTCATGCAAGCAGGCAAAGTGACGGAGGAAGGATGGGGCAGCAGGAGCGAGGGCAGGACCGAGAGAGGGCAGCCGAGCTGCTGGAGCCAGGCTCGGGGCTCTGTGCTGGGCATGGCCCAGAACCCCAGCCGAGCCAAGTCCCATGGCAAAGGCCAAGCCACAGTCCAGGTTTGCCACCTGTAGGAGTCTACCCCACGGCCCGGATGCCCATGCCCGGGAGCAGTGGATAGCTCCAGGATCTCTGGGACCACAGGTACCACCAGCCAGACCCAAATGTACCTAGAATGTGCCCTTTCCTTCCCTGCCAACCTGGCCCAAGGAAGGACTTAGACATAAGCCCACCCGGGCATCCATAGCACAGGATGACTGCGCCACATGGAGACATTCTCCAGGCCTCAGCTTGAGGTGGTGCCACCGCCCTCTTGGTCCAGTCACCATTCACTCCAGGAACCCAGCAAAGGGGAGTGGGGATGGCAGCCTCCGGAGAGAAGGTGCCGGGTGGGGGCTACAGTTGCTTTGCCAGTTTCCATCAGGGTGGCTCTGAGCCAAGGCGGGTGCGGTTAGGGCCTCCACATCTCTGGCCATTACGCTGCAGAGAGAGGCTGCCAGGAGACGTGGCCCCAATGAAGACAGGCTAGCAGGGAGACAGCCTCGGGGTGTGGGCAGGCAGCAAAGGATAAGAAACAGCCCCGCACCTGCCTGCCTTGTGGCAGCCAGCGCCATCCCTGCCCCTCCACTGGCCCGCAGGCCACCAGCTGGCCCATTGTCCCCAGCGAGCACACACACACACATACACACGCACTGGAGCGGCTCCTTCATGCACACCGCGGCACAGCCTGCCAAGGGGGCCCGGCCACACTGGGCCTTGAGGCAAGGAGGGCAGAAGGGGGTGGCCGAGAACCGAAGCGCACAGGCCAAGCGGAGGCCCAGCCGGGTCCAGGAGGCTGCCCTCCACCTCCAGCTGGAGCAGGGAGCCCCCCACCCCACGTGCTGCCGCCGGTCCCCTCCCGTGCTGTTGGCAGTGGGCAGCGCAGGGCCTGTGAGCAGGAGATAAAGAGTTCAGGCAGAGGGGTTTTTCTCACTAACCGTGGATTTGTGTGTTTGTTCAGCTGGTGGCTGTGATAAGCCCCAGTTTGCCAGATAAAAGCCAGGCAGTCATGAGGCGGGGCCTGCCGGGGTTGGGTTTCTTGCCTCTGTCCCATCCGATCCTGATCCCCGGGTGGGCCTGAGCCCCCCAGGGGGTCAAGGAGCACCCACAGAGGACACAGCACCTCTGCCCCACTACCCCAGTGGTGACAGTCCAAGGCAACCCCAGAGTGTGGGTACGCTGTCGCACGGCTGGTTCACAGCCTCCCCCAAGGGCTTGGGCCACAGTGGCCTGCGTGGTTCCTGCTGCCTCCAGCTTAGAACCTCCAGCCTCCTTCCCACTGTGTCCACGGTCACCAGGTCCATACGGTCCCAAGGTGCCTGCCTACAGGGGTCAGGGGGCCCACTGTCGCTGAGCTAGCTAGCTGAGATCCAGGTCCAGCGGCCTTGTCACAGAGCCGGGGTGTCCCCAGGCCCGAGGCCTCGGCCCTCCTAGGGCCTTGCTTTACCAGCAGTGTCCCGGGGACTACCGGAGATCATGCCAGCCGTAGAGCTGTCCTCTTCTGCTTCCCCACCCCCTGCCCCACGCTCCGACCCCAGCCTGGGTCCAGATTTGCAGTGTGTCTGCCTTTTGTCCTGGTGCTGAGCTGAGCACGGCGGGGGCCGCGGGTGGAGGGGGGGACAGCTTTGTGGGACTGCTGGCTGCGGCCGCCAGCCATAAAATGGCTGCCAAGGTATAAAATGGCTGCCAGCAGCGCCAGGAGCAGCGCCTGGAGGCGCGTGGCAGCGGGCCTGGCCTGCGGGAGATGCCCTCAGCTGCTCGCTCCTGTGCACCGCGCCTGCTGGGCGGCCGGCACTGGCCTTTCGGAGCGGTGGCCTGGGTGAGAAGGGGTCCTGTCCGTTGCACCCCCCCACGCCAGAGGAGCCCCATTTGTCTCCTCTGCTTTGGCCACTGGCATATCTCCATGCCTCTGGCGCCTTTATGGTCCTAGGCATGTGCTGTGCACCTGGCTTGACTCACACACACACACACACACACACGCACACACAGAGCCCCTCCCACCTTCATGGCCTTTCACAGAGGCCAGACCTCCTGCCTACTCTCCCCAGTCCCCAGCTGGCCAGGTGTGGAGAGCATGGTGGAGATTGGTACCGTCTGTAGCAGAAACCCCCACCTCCTGGGCAGCAGGACCAGGGCCAAGTCCCTGGAGACACACCAACCGGGGCTCAAATCAAACCCCAGGGGACTAGGAATGGACAGAGGCAGCACGGTGACAAGGACAGCATGCCCAGGGCCGTCAGGACTGGAGAGGCCACCGTCCTGAGGTGCACACACACCTGTCCCAACAAGGCACGGAACCTTTGCCTCGTGTGCCTGCCGCTCTGGGGGCAGGTCGCAGCCACAGGGCCGGTACTGCCAACCTCAGACATGGCGGGGCACTCGGCTGAACCCCCTGGGTGGTGGGCAAGACCCAGGAGGCAGGGCCACCCTGGCCAGCTAGCACACAGGCGCTGAGGTTTTCAGAAGTCATCTCCAAAGTTGTTCCCCTACGCCCCAGCGAGCAGCTGAGCCTTTACCAAGCGCAACCTTCTTCCTGCCCCACTGCCTGTCCCGGCCTCCTCCGCCTGCCCTCCCCCCCACACACACACCCGCCACCTTCTCGCCAGCTGTCGTGCCCAGGCAGGCATTCTGGAGGTCTCTGTGGTGCCCCTGGCACACAAAGCTTCGAGGACCCCCGGGGGCGGGGGCGGGGAGGGACAAGGGGGCTTTCCCAAGCTCGGCGGAATGCTTTACACAAGCTTCTCCACCCTGCCCCCAGCGCTCTGCCAGCTCCTGGCGCACAATGGGCCCTTGTCTCGGGACTCCCTGCAAGTAGCTGTGCCACTGGGGCATGAGACGGCCCAGACAGGCGGGCACAGGGCGGGTGGCGGCAGTGGGGCAGGGCCCCTCCCCCTCCTCCCACCCCAGGGCTTGCCAGGCACTGCCTGCAAGCAGAAGGGTAAGGCAGGAGGAGGAGGGGCCCACGAGGTAACTTCCACTGAAGGTGACGGGACAGAGACGCTCCCCCCAGCGCCCCAGCATCCATCGCAACTGTACATGATGCTAGTCTGTTGCTGGCATCTTTGCCAGGGCACATTCATTTGCTCCTGACATTTGTGGGTCTGGAGAGATGAGTTTTGGTGGTCCCAGCCCAAGTCCTGGCAGGTGGCTGTGTGATTGAGAGACCTGGTGGCCCCCGGAGCCCGGGCAGCCTTGTGGCCCATGCACGTGGGAGGCCTTGATCTTGACCCAGCCTTTACTTTTGTGTCTCCTGTAGAATCCGGACAATCAGACAGCTCCAACCAGCAAGGAGACGCGGACATCAAACCACTGCCCAATGGTCAGTGCCTTTCCCCACTACCCTCCAACCAGAGGCGGCCGTGGGCATGGGATGGGGTTGGGGGGAGGTGGAGATTAGGAGGAGCAGGTGGGAAAGCCCTTCTCCCATTCATGGCCCTTTTCCTTTTGCAGGGCACTTAAGTTTCCAGGACTGCTTTGTGACTTCTGGGGTCTGGAATGTGACAGAGCTGGTGAGAGTGTCTCAGAGTAAGTGAGAGGCCTCCTGGCCGGCCGGGGTCACAGGGAAGGAGGTGGGACTCAGAGCTGCTGCGCTGTGGAAGGGAGCCCCCAGGACAGACAGAATCCAGAGCTGGGTAGACCAGCCTACCCCTGAACTTTACTGTTTAAGAGGAAAGAAAGACAGAGAGAGAGGGAGGGAAGGAGGGAGGGAAAGAAAGGAAGGACGGAAGGAAAGAAGGGAGAGAAGGGGGGAGAGAGAGAGGGAGGCAGGGAGAGAGGGAGGCAGGGAGAGAGGGAGGGAGGGAGGAAGAAAGGCAGAAAAGTCACAGGCCATCGCAGCCAGAGGAGATCTGCAGAGTAGCCCAGCTGCTCCCATCCCGGGGACACTTCCCCCCATCCCCACACCCCTTCCAGACCTCACCAGCCCCTCTCATTTTTCTCAGCTCCTGTTGCGACCGCATCAGGGCCCAACTTCTCGCTGGCGGACCTGGAGAGCCCCAGCTACTACAACATAAACCAGGTGACCCTGGGACGGCGGTCTATCACCTCCCCTCCTTCCACCAGGTGAGCCACAGCGCCGCACCCACCCCCCCCCCAAGCCCAGGCACCCGCCCCCCCATCTGTGTGCTTCTGCACACGCCCCCCCCTCACACACACACACCTACCGGGTGGCACTGGCTCAGAGGTGGCCTGAGCCCACGGCGCACCTGCTGGGCCCAGCCACCCCTAGTGCTGCCAGCTTTGTGTGGTCACGCACAGGGCTTGGCATGGGAAACAGAGGGTCTGCAAAGCTGACGGTGGGCGGGGGAATGGGCGCTGACATCTGAGCCCAGGCACTCTGGGCAGGGGTACAGGTGGCTGCAAGAGGCAAGGAGAGACCTCTGGTGGTGAGGAAGCTCTCAGACTGCAGCCTGGGGTCGGTGAGGGCAGCCAAGGGTCCTGAGCAGGGCAGGGGGTTCTAGAAAGCTCCTTCCAGCAGCACCGTGCACACCCATGGGCAGCTCAGGAGGGCTTTTCCTCCCAGCTGGAAGCAGAGAAGGGCTTGGCCCTGACATTGGTTAGGGGCTGTGTGGACAGGAAGGGACGGAGCCGAGGGGTGCTTGGGCAGGTGGAGATGGGGTCACACCTGTCAGGACAGGGTCAGGTCCTGACACGTTGTCTAACCCTTGGGCGTCTATGTTGACTGTGAGGTTTGGGTGTTTACAAAAAGTTGCTTTCAGTATTGTGTTTTGTGTTGATGACTGAGTCTTGTGGCACCCCGTGACCTTTCTTGTTCCCACAAATGTTTCACTCACATCACCCCGGCTCTGGGGGCTGATGAGCCTGGGAGTTAGGTGGCAATCCTGCCCTACTCTTGGCCATGGGCAGCGTGGGGCACCTTGGTATCAGGGGCTGGGGGAGAAGGTGCAGCTTCGAAGCCTTCTCTCTCCATAGGATGGGATGGCCTGGGCCTGACCTCCCAGGGGTCTTCAAGGAGCTCCTGGAAGGCTGTGGTGGTTAGCCCACGAAGCTTGAAGGGCTCTGGAGCCTGGGCGCCCCTGACCTTTCCCTTCCTTCCCCAGCACCACCAAGCGCCCCAAGTCCATTGACGACAGTGAGATGGAGAGCCCTGTTGATGACGTGTTCTACCCTGGGACAGGCCGCTCCCCGGCGGCTGGCAGCAGCCAGTCCAGTGGTTGGCCCAACGATGTGGATGCAGGTATGGCTGTTGCCAGGTGCCGACCCAGGCAGTGGGGTGGCTGGAGCCTCCCACTGGCTTGCTGCTGTTGGGTAGTGTGCCCCGTCTGTCCATTAGTCCATCCATCTCTCATCTCCCAAAGTTCCCCGTGTGTATAACAGGCAGCTGAGGTGAAGGGTTGGGTCCTGGGTGTGGCCCATATGAGGCAGAGGGGCCAGCAGATGGCTACCTTTGCCCTGCCCTCCCGGCCTCGCTGTTGGGTTAGTCCTGTCCACTGTGGGATGCTGAGCACGCAGCCCTGGTCCCTACCTACCCCCACCAGACGCCAGGGGCAGACCTCTCACGCTCAGCCTTGATGACCAAGGTTGACTTGGACACTGCCGAATGTCGCAAGGGAGGACCAGCCTTGGGGACTGACCCAGCTTTGAAGAAAGGCTGAGAGTCCAGTGAGGAGTGGGCATAATTGTGCCCTGATCAGGGGAGCGGGGGGCTCTTCCCAGGCCCCTCCAAACACTTCCTTTCTGCCCACCCACCCATCTCCGCCTCCCACTGTGACAGATGTGGGCAGACTGGGCAGCCCTGTGGAAAGAGAGTGCACGTTTCGGGATGTGTGTGCCTGGGTGTGAGCCCCGAGAGGGTGGCAGCACCAGGCTTCTGCCTGTGTGTACCCCGCAGCTATGGGGGTATTGGGTCCACGCTTGGCAGTTGTGCACAGTGGGTGTGCTGGGAACAGGGGGTCAGAGTTGATGGCGCCTCATCTGGCGTTTTCAAGAAGTGCCCTTGTCCTGTATACGGGAAGGGCCAGGTGGACAAGCAGTGGGGGTGGGAGGAGCGCTGCGTGCTCCCGTGTTACCCCAGAATGAAGGCAGGCACTCCAGCTTCTGCTGGGGGAGCAGGAGGAGGACTCACCTCCAGACCCACGCTGAGGAAGTAGGACTCGAGACCCCACAGCTCCCAGCAGAGACACCCCCCACCCCCCAGGAGCATGATGCCTGGTGTGGCTCTGAGGGACCCGCTCTCAGGGTCACCTCTTTGTGGCAGCAGGGACCTGGGTTGGTGTGGTCCTCGGGCCTCGGTCAGGGGGACCCCTTTCTGCAGTGACAGCCACCAGGCTGCCTCCAGGGCTGCAGCTGCCCCTGGCTGGACCTAACTGCTAAAGATCCCTCCTCGCCTGGGCGCCCGCGCACGCTCACGCTCCTCTGTTGGCTGTCTGCTCTTGCACCTGCCATCTCTGCTCCTTCCAGCAGTCCTGCCACGCACGGCCCCCACAAGTCCTCCTGCAGCTCCCCGCCCCTCCCCCCGCCTCCCCCTCTTCCCGGTCCCTCGTTCCCCTCCCCCCCACCCTCGCCCCGTGTGCTGTTTCCCTGGGCTGCGACAAATCGCCAATTAAGCAGCCCAGCTGCAGGATGAGGAACAGCTGGGAAGGCACTGTGCGGGCCGCGGGGACAGCTGTGCACAGCCGGTGGGGCGCTCCCCCCTCCCCACCGTGCCAGCTATCAGGTGGCACCCAGCTGCTGCCAGATAACACCTCTGCTGGCGCGGGGAATTTGCCATTCTCCCACCTCTTCCCTCCACCGAGAGGATGGCTCCCGTTCCTCGGCAGCCTCTCTCCCTGCCCACCCCAACACCCCCAAACTGACTCCTCAAGGAGGGCTGCTCCAAGGAGGTCTGCCCTGATCCCACCTCACTGTCCCTGAGGGAAGCTCACCATGGGACCTTGGGTTGGCCCAGCCTCTTGGGGACCCTGAGCCCACCAGGCCGAGGTGACTTTGGCTGGCGATGGGTCTCCTGCCAGGTGTCTTCCGGGCCCCTCCCATCCCACGGCAGCCTCCAGGGCCCTAATCTTCTTGGACAGCCTGTCCCTGCAGGCATGCCCCTCCCACCCACACCATCCCATCCCCAAGCTGGCACCCTGGTGGGAGGGGGGAGAGGAGGCCCTTCCTGCATTGCTCCCCCTGCAAACCCCCTTCCCTACCGCACATACCTCCCCACCACGCCCCCGACACAGCCACTGCCCACCTGCCCACCCGCATACAGGGCCTGCACACCAAAAGGGGGCAGGAGGGCTGGCCCGTGGAGGCAGGGGCGGCTGGGGGCGGGGGGGTACCTAGGAACTAAAGGCTAAGCTGCTGGCTTCCCGCCACCACCACCACCCCATCCCACCCCTGCTACCGCCAGAGCCGGGCTAAACCCGCCCTGTGTTGCTGCTTCCCCCCCAGGCCCGGCTTCTCTTAAGAAGTCAGGAAAATTGGATTTCTGTGGCGCCCTCTCCTCTCAGGGCAGCTCCCCGCGCATGGCTTTCACCCACCACCCGCTGCCTGTGCTTGCTGGCGTCAGACCAGGTGAGCCATGGGGGGGCCTCCGGAGGGGGGCAGGCGGGGAGGACAGGCAGCCTGAGCTCCCCAACCCCCCACAAACGCAGGGGGCTGCGCGCGTGCGTGCAGCAGCAGCAGCAGCAGCAGTGGGCTGGCACAGAGTGGTGCCCCCCCCAAACCTCTTCCTGCCACTCACTCACTCACTCATGGAGGGCCAAGCCTTGCCCACGCCCAACCCCAGGCTGCTTCTGGAGCACCCTGTCCACTTGCTTCTCACTCCGGATGTGCAAGTGTGCCTGGCCGCTGTGTGCAGCCCCAGGCTGGACCCCCAGACCTCTTGCAATCTGCCCTCAGACCATGGAGACCTCTGGAGCTCAGGCGTGGGGAGGGGACAGAGGCCTCTCTCTCCCACCAGCTTCAGCCGCTTTGTCCCAGCTGCCAGCTGAGCCCAAGGCTTGAGCCAAGCTGGCGTAGAGAGCTCTTGCGGTGTGTCCCGGAGCAGGCAACCGACTTCTCTGGGCTGTCCTTTGGGACAGGGTCCCCTCCCCTCTGCAGCCCCATCCTGTGTCTGGACTGAGGACCCCCTAGAGGTGTCTGGGAGGCCTGGGCAGCTCACCCCTCCATCTCAGCCCTCCCTCCCTCGCTTGGCACCCATCGGGCCACAGGAGGCCTAGTGTTTCTTTGGACACGGCCCTGTGGCGGCCTGCGGTCTCCTGGGTTCTCCCATAGAACACAGAGAACGGAGAGATTTACCTCCCCGCTTCCTTCTTGGGGCCCCCAGGCAGCTGGCTGGCCGGGGCAGGGCCCAGTGGTGGCCGCAGTCAGGCAGGGCGGGGAGCCCAGGTCCCATGTGCGCAGGCAGCAGGAGGGCGGCTCGCTGCGGCTGCTGCTCAGGCCCGGGCTCCGTTTTTATGAACTCCAGAAAGAAGCCAAGTTTCCCCAGCCCCCTAATGAAACCAAGAACCGGCTGATTGGAAACAGACAGGGCGGGCGGGGAGGACACAGCTCTGGGCCGGCAGCGCTGGGGCCAGTGCTGGGGTGGAAATCGCATGTGTGCGGGCCGCGGGGTGGGGCGCTCCGGAATGCAGCCTGCGTGCTGGTGGCTGCGTGGGCGCCCTCGGGACACGCATGTGCATGTGTGTGTGGAGTGTTTCTCCTGTCCCGCTCAGCCAGAGCCCCATGGAGCAGACTGCTGCGTCTCGCCATACACGCCCCCAACCCCACTTCCCCAGGCTCGCACCCAGGCAGAGCCCAGGCAGACGCAGGTGCAGAGACCCAGTCTAGAAAACACACACACACACAGCGTGTGTGGGGAAGGGCCTGATGAGCGGCCCACCACTTCAAAGGATCTTACACCATGATGACATCTGACCCTGCACTGGAGTGACCCTGCCCATCTGCCCCACTTGAACCCCAAGGCTGGCTCCCCTCAAACTGTCCTTAGCCAAGCGGCTGGTCTGAAGGTCCTAGTTCGCCACTGTGTTCTGATTCTTTAATATATATATATAGAGAGAGGATCCGTGTCTTTCCGGCCTCACGCCAGTTAAGCCCTGTTCTCCCTCCTCCTCTGGCGTTGCAACCCTGAGCCCTCCTACCCTGCTCCTCCTCCAGCTTCTCCTTTAACCCTTTAACCCATCATTTTCCTTCTGTGCCCACAGGCAGCCCCCGGGCCACGGCGTCAGCCCTGCACTTCCCCTCCACGTCTATCATCCAACAGTCGAGTCCGTACTTCACGCACCCGACCATCCGCTACCACCACCACCACGGGCAGGACTCGCTGAAGGAGTTTGTACAGTTCGTGTGCTCGGATGGCTCAGGCCAGACCACCGGACAGGTGAGTGCTGGGGGCCCCAGGAGCCCTGCGGCGGCCTCATCTCTGCGTCTCTCTGTCCGTCTCTGTCTTGGGAATCACAGCGGGGTGGGGGAAGGAGGTGGGGGAAGGCTTGAGAGCTTGGGCCCCTCGTGGGGCCGGAGTGGCAGCAGAGAGTCTGTCGGTACAGTCTGGCGGATTTTCGGGGTCTGCAGGTACTGGCCTCACGCCGTTGGTCCTGTGTGTCATGGTCTGTATGGGGTCCGTGGTAGGGGCGCAGCGGCCACTGGGTCCTGCCTCCTTAATTGGACTCCTTGTCCACCCCCCTTCACCTCGTTCGAACCAAGTCCATTACTTCGCTTAAACCTTGGGGATGCAAGGACTTAGCTGGGACTCCAACAGGCGTGTGTTCGCTGGGGGCTGATCGTGGCCTGTGGGGTAAGACCATGCTGTGCAGCATCACCTCCATCCCTGGAGCCCCCGCTCCCCGAGCCCCGCTGGCCACAGACACTGCACACGCATCCAGACCGCCATGTGCCCGCCGGGTGTGTGGGGATGCCTCCTTGTCCTTTCCCTGGGGCTGGCCTGGAGAGTACTGTTGGCAGAGGGGTTCCAGTCCCAGAGCGAAGCTTCTGCTCCGGGTCCCTAGGAGGCAGACGGCAGCGGCGGCCAGCCCTCGGTCTAGCCTGCCTAGCCGGGCAATCTGTTAGACAAAGCAAGACTATGCGTGGTGATGGCTCTGCCGTCCTGGCTCAGTCTCTGGGGGTCTCCTGCTGCGACACGACGTTCTCTAGAGCCCTCCCCGGCTGTCACCAGCCAGCCATTGCAGTGGGGAAGCTGCGACGGACTGGGCAGGGAGGATGCTCTCATGGCCGTGCTGAGGAGAGGCGTCCCAGAAGCCCAATGGCAGAGGCATGCCGGGAAGAGCTGCCAGCTGCCTTCTGCCACTCTGCCCGGTGCTGTCTGGGCAGCCCGCACATGGCGGACATCTCCCCAGTCTGCAGCTTCTTGCTGTGCCCTGGGCCCTCCTTCCTGCCTTCCCTTCACTCCCTGCTCCCCCTGGTCTCCCTTCCCGGCCCTGCAAGGGCATCTCCTGGTAGCTGCACATCTCCTTGGGGGCGTACCATGGCCTTGCCCACCTCTGTGGGCTTGGGGCTGGGGCTGGGAGGATGGATGTGCCCTGGTAACCATCGCGCTTGGTACAGCACTTACAGCAGAGTCCAGGACAGCTGCAGACCCTGCCCTGGCCCCCAGAGCCCTGGGGTCAGGGATGTGGAGCAAAGGGGCCAGTCATACCTCATACTGGTGGCAGCCAGGTTTCAGAGCCAAAAGGAAAGGGGGCTGCGGACCAGGGGAGCCCAGGAGTGTAGTCTTATGACTCTGGGGGAAAGCCAGGCGGGATCTCACCCGTTTCAGTTCTCCAGGAGGACAGGATCTCCTCTGGCTAGGTAGGCAGAGGCCGGCGGAATTGCGCAGCTGGGTGCAAGCTGACAGCCCCCAGCAGCCTCCTCGTCCCCTGTCCCCTTATGGCACAGGTTGGAGAGAGCAGCTGGGGGCTCCTCGGGGAGCTGTGGGGCGCCTAGCTTCCGCAAGGCACCAAGGGGCAGCACCTCCTGTGAGAGAGGCCAGTGCATGGGCACAGAGAGAGCCGTTGGCCAGGAACTGTGGTCCCAGGCTCTGTTCACCCACGGCGCCTGGGAACATAAGTCTTACCTATGCCTTTAGCAGTGGAGCTTCTGATCGCACAAGGCTGGGGCTGGGCCCAGGGCCACCTTGCTTCTTCCAGGCTCCCAGCTGCTGCTGCTGCAGATTGGGGAACCCTACTTTGATCTGGAGCCCAGATGAGTAAGTCCCTAACCTCTCTAAGAATCTGATGTCCCAGGGGGAAAAAATAAAAACACCTGCGTAGTGAAATGTCACAGACACGTGTAGAAGGGTCTGCAGGCAGCTCGCGTGGCTTGTCTCGTAGCCGGGGGTGGGTGGGGGCAGACACTCGTTTAGAAGCCAGACAATCGTGAGCCAGTGGATACACCGCTGAGAATACGAAGGAGGAAGAGGAAATGTGACTGGCTGTGCGAAAAGGGACCGCCACGTGAGAACCCACAGCGTGCTCGCAGGGCCTTCCGGCACAGCAGCCTGGAGGAGCCAGGCAGACCTTAGGGAACCTGGGGCTGTGACAGCCAGCTTCCAGGTGTCTGTCACCCTGGTCTGTTTGAGTTGGGAGATGCTGCGGAATCATGGGGACTTACCCCTCGAGGCGACACAGGCTGGGACGGGGGGCTGCCCCACGTCAGGGGCTGCTGGGAAGGCCTCTGGGTCCCCGCCCACCAGGCAGAGGAGATGAAGGCATGATCTGTGATGGGAGATGAAACAGGTGCTGGCCAGGCCGTGCAGCCCCAAGGGGAGATATCTCCACTGACTCGCGGAGGGAACCCGGAAGAGGAGCGGTGTCAGGAAATTCATGGAAAACAGAACCGAAAGTGCATGTTCATTGCAGTGGGAAGAGTTCTGAAACTCGGGCTTAGATGTTTGGATAAAACACCTCTTGGGTGTTGGTTGAGGAGAATGTCCGCAGGGGCCACCGTGGAGCCTGTGGCTTCCGGAGGATGATCGGATGGGTCCTTGAGCACGTCAGCGAGGCTGGGCAGGCCAGGGGCTGCAGGCTGCAGTGGCTTCCGTAGGGGTCATGGGTGCCAGGAAGCAGCAAGGCACGGAGTGGATCCCCAGGAGCTGCCATCTGCTGAGCAGACCCCAAGGAACATGGGCAAGGGTCTGCCAGGCATGGAGGAGCCTGCAGGGAGCAGGTGCACGGGTGGTACTGGCAACCTGTGTCCCGGGCACCATAGAGCGGTGAACCCGTTTGGTCTTCACCCTCTCTTGAGGCCTGTAGCATCCGAGATCCTCGGCTGGCACATACGGACACTGCCAGTGTTGGTGTGGTGGATGGAGTGTGTGAGCAGAGGGCTACTGCCGTGCAGGGTGGTTGCAGGGTCCGACCTTGGGTGTGAAGCAGCGTGGGCACCGTGGGCATCAGGGTTGCAAGCCAGAGCCTCACAACCTCACCCAGGCAGGAGCAATGGACTTATTGGAACCATCCTGAGCCAGAGGGACAGGGGCTCAGCCAGCCAGCAGCAGTTTGCCTGCCCAAACCAGAGGCAAGCTGCCTGGAGACAAAGCAGCACTTGTGTCCTCGGAGGCCTGACCGTGGAAAGCCAGGTACACGGCGTGGAGGAGGAAGCTACAGGTTGGGGCACAGAGTGGAGATGCCATGGCAGCCGACAGGCTCACACAGGAAACACTTCCTGAAGACCCTAGTGACCCCTCAGCCCAGTGCCAGCCCCCCTGGCTCCAGGTGCCCGCCCAGGCTGTGGGGCCAGGTGCATGCTGGAATGGGGACAGGGGACAACATGCAGGTGTGTGAGGCCGGAGGTGGTCTGTCTCCTGCCACTGCAGGAGTGATAATGGTTGTAGGTGAGGCTGCGCTTACAGCTCGGTGGCACATTTTTGCTATTGTTTTTGTTTTGTTTTGTTTTGCTTTTTGCTTTTTTAGTTTTTTGTTGTTTTGTTTGTTTTTGCACCTGAAGCGTTTTCCCTAAGAGATGTAACCACCCACCCCTCTGCTGGACCACCCCCTTCCTCCCTCCCACAACTTCAAAAGAGGAAAAAAAAAAAAGAGAGAGAGAGAGAGAGAGAGACATCCGAGAGACCAAATCAAGCCCTTTCCACCCCCACCCGGGCGTGCGGTCCCCGCATTTTACAGCGGGAGCACCCGCGCAGGGGAGCGTGTGTCTGTGCGATGTGCCTTCATGCGTTACTCTATTTATGTTGTTTGCAGCCCAACGGTAGCGGTCAGGGCAAAGTCCCGGGGTCATTTTTGCTACCGCCGCCGCCTCCAGTGGCCAGACCTGTGCCCCTTCCTATGCCTGATTCCAAATCTACCAGCACTACCCCAGACGGCGCCGTCTTGACTCCTCCGTCGCCTTGTAAGTGGACGATGAAAACCGAACCACCACGCCCAGCCGTCCCGGCCCGCCCACGCGGTCTCCGCGGCAACGAGCCAAGCGCCCCCCAGCCACCCCCTCCAGCCAGAGCCCCCTCCAGGACAGGAGCCCAGCTCAGCCTCCCGGGCCTCAGTCACGGCCGGCGCCCCACCTGCCCCGCTGCCCACCGCTCCCTCCCAGCCGGGAGTAGGGGGGACCCCTCCCAAGGCCCCTCTGGGGGGCGGGAGGGGGAGCGCAGTGGGGCGCCAGGCTGGGGGGGTGCTGGCATAGGGGGGTGGAGGGGTGGGGAGGCGCAGCCATGCCATCTTCATGCCTGATTGCTGTGTTTTTGCTTTTTTTGTTTTTTTGTTTTTGATTTTGATTTTTGATTATTATTGTTATATTTCGTTGTTTCTTCCCCCTCACCTCCCCACGCACACCAAGAGAAGGAAGTGCAACCCAAAAGGCGACGCCACCACCATCCCCGTTTTTTGCCTTGACCCTCACCTCTGTGCCCAGGCCCAGGCCTCCAGGACGCAGTAGCCAGTCCCTGACCCTTCAGTCTCATATTTGGTTTCTCGTTGTATCTCTTTTTCTTTCTTTTTTTTTCCTAATTATTATTATTTTTTTTCTTTAACTTCCTTCCCATCCCTCTTCCTTCCTTTCTTCCTCCCAGGTTGGATGCTCCAAGGACACAGGAGGGCTCGGGCCTCTGCTTAATTCTTTTCTCTCTCTCTCTCTCTCTCTCTTTTTTCTTTACAATCAATAACAAATTTTATCAAAGGAAAAAGCAGGATAATCTCGAGTGCAGAGGCCCCAGGTAGACGCGGCACGAAGGCCAGGGTCGGGGAGAGGTGGGTGGGAGCCGAGGGTTTGTGATATTTGGGGACATGGGGGTGGGCAGTGCTCAGGGGACCGAACGACCCCTCCCCGGCCTGGCGGGCTGCAACAGGTGGACGGCCTCCATCTCAGCCCTGCTCCCTGCGCGTGCACACTCTGTCTCTTCTGCTCCCTCAGTTTGAATTTTTTTCCCCCCTCCCACCCTCTTCATACCATCCGCCCACCTACATCTGTCATAAGACACAAACCAGGTCATGGTCATCACGGTCATTGGAGGTGGGGGATGCGGGCAATGGGTAGGCTTCGGGAGAGAGGTGGACAGGTCCCTGGGTGAGTCAGGGGTGGGTCAGGGAGAAGGGCCAGGCACCCCGGGACACCCCTTGCTGCCGCCTCTGGAGGGGGTTGGATGGGGGTGTGCCTCTTCTGTGCCATGGGGCTCTAGCCCAGCAGCCCAAGAAGGGGAGGGGTGCGGGGCACCCATATTTGTCCCCTTGGGTGGCCACCAGCACCAGCACCAGCACCTAAGCCCTGGCTCTTCGGCCTCCTTCCTCCTCCGTGGCCTTGGCCCAACTCAGGTTCTGGGACTTGGCGTACCGGTCCTCAGAAAAGGATGTCACCTCTGAGTCTCCTCCCCCCGCCCCAAAGCTGCCCATCTCAGCCACCTGCCCCATCCCGGGGACTTGCCTGGGGAACGGGCAGTGCAGCCCACCCCCCAGCCAAGCTGTCCAGGGTGGACAGGCATCCCAGCGGCCCGTTCTCCCAGGACCTAGGAGAGGACAGTGGGGAAGTGAGGGACCCCAGGGAGGGTGCCTGGGCACAGGCATGGGCTCAATGTGCCTCAAAGCCCCCCACTCCTATCACCCTGGCTGTGCAGGGGTGGCTGGCTGAAGCTGGGAGGGAGTTGGGGGTGTCTGTGTGATCCTGGCCAGTGAGGGGGTGAAGGCATGTGGGGTAGGGGTGGGCGAGGGGCCTGGTTTTTCAGCACAGCCAGCTGCCCTGCGCCCGCCCTGTGCCCAGGCCGCGCAATCTAACCCTATTTCTCCCTCTCTCAGCAGCCCCAAAGGGCAGTGCCCAGGAGGGCCCCACGGCCTGACGGGGTCTCCCCTCTCTCCCCCTCTCTCCCCTGCTCTCCACAGCACTCGCAACGACAGGCGCCTCCTCTGCCAACCGGTTTGTCAGCATCGGACCCCGGGACGGCAACTTTCTGAACATCCCGCAACAGTCTCAGGTGGGAGACCTGCCAGGGTCAGGGCTGCTGTGGAGGGACAGGCAGGGCTGGGCGCGTCTCTTGGAGTGAGGGGGACCCTGGGGCAGGGCCAGTGAGCCCAGCCCGATTTGTAGGCCCAGCTGAGCCTGCCTCCCCACGCAACAATGAAGGTGGGGGGGCTCTCTGGCTGATCAGCTAATTGGATAATTAGCTCTGACAACACTGGCCCGGAGGACAGGGCCAAGGACCTAGACCCAGTTGTTCTAGGCCAGGCCTGGTGCAGCGGAGGGATAAGGGAGGCCCCTGACAGGGGAAGCCTGGGGCTGCCTTCTCTCCTTCTGTGCGTTGCAGCCAGGGTCTCCCCTCAGCCGCCCGCCCGTAGGGGCTTGGGTGGGCTGTGTGCCCAGAGGCCTAGGGCCAGGGAAAGGCGGGGCTGGCCCTGGCCAGGGGAGGCCCCTCCCTGGGGTTGGCTGAGGCCTGCAAGGGAGACCCTCCTGACTGCTGTGCCCACCAGGCTGGGAGTAGCCTGCAGTGCTGGGGTCCCCCCCGGCCTCCCGGGAGGTGCAGGGCTCTCTCTGCCTGGGGACCCCTCTACTCTCGTGTCCTCAGCAAGGGTTTTTCCGTTTCCCGTGCACACGCTTTTCTTGCAAACCGCCTCTGGGAGGCTTCCTGGCCCCCGGCAATCCGCCTTGTGTGTGCCGGCTTGCTGAGGCCCCGTCCCGAGTTGCTGCATGGAAGTTTTGCATGTGGTTTGAGGAATTCTTTCCCCCTCTTTCTCTTCCTTTACTTCCCTAAAAGAAAAAAAAAAAAAAAAGCCAAAAAACTTTGTCAAACTTTAACCTCCAGAGCTCCCTAGTGGCGGGGACGGGAGGGGAAGAGGACTTCCACCCCCTCCAGCTTCCCACCCCCTCTCCCCAGAGTCACGTCTGACCCGTCTGGTTTCCAGGAGCAACCAGACATGATGTAACACCCAGATGAACTTGAACTTGGGGGTGTTGAGAAGAAAAACAATGGCTCCGAGCAGAGGCTGGAGCCACCCCCTCTGCTCTGTGCCAGGGAGGCAGAGAGAGAGTCCTGCTGGCAGAGGGCAGGAGGGGGTGCCAGAGGAGGGGACAGCAGGCGGCCTCCCCTCCTGGCTGTGGGCTGGCACCAGCCTGGGGCTCCACCACTCCCTCCCTCCCTCCCTCCTACCCTTCCTCCCTGCAGGGCCTCCTTCCCTGGGCCTGCGGCTCTGCTACCAATCCTCCCGGCTCAATGCCTCTCTCTCTCTCTCTCTCCACTTTGGGCTTGGACATTTTTGGGGGGGAACCAAGTCAGAGTTTGACGCAAGTTGGGGAAACAGCTCCCCATCACCACCATCCCATAGCTGCCATGCTGCTCCGCTCCTCCCCCCACCCCCTGCCCCTTGCCAGTCGCAGGTTCTTGGGCAGAGAGGGGACACCCCAGGCCCAGGGCCAGGACCCCTGAGCGGGCAGGTGCGCCTGGGAGCCAACAGTGGGGGGAGCCCTTGGGCTGGGGGGGAGCAGGCGGATGCCTTGTGGGCACAGGGTTACGGTGTGTGTATGTGGGGGGGGGGTGGTTTCCACAGTAACCAGTGACTTCTGAGCTGATCTCTGCAGTGCCAGATGGAAAGAGAACAATAGAATGAGGGAAGAAAAGAGAATTTTAGCAATTTTGTCATTCCCTGAGCAGTGCTTTTTACTTACTTGTAATCAGTTTTGGAGCTGGCTCAGGAGGTGGGGGAGGGTGGGGAGAACAGAAAAGGCAGCCCGAGGCTTGGCAGTCGCTCCGATTCCGGAGACCCGAGGGGGGTGTCGGGGAGCCCCCTCAGAGCTGCCTTTGTCCTTGACTCCAGCCCTTGGAGCCAGGGTCCCCCTCTCCCGTCTGCACGCTGGCACGGCCCCCACAGCACGTAGCTCAGGGGACCCCCAAAGACGGCCCACTTGGGGCTTGGGGCTCAGGCCTGCGTTGCCAACAGCTGGCGGTGCGGGCGGGGACCCTGCCTGTCCCCAGCTTCCATGCCCTGGTAGCCAGACGCGGGATGGGCCGTCAGCCAGAGCCGGCCTCTCTGCACCTGGGGACGGTGGCGCCCCCAAGGGCAGGGGATCCTTACGCAGACAGGCTCCTGGCTTCTCAAGCTGGACCAGCTGTCCTGGAGCTGTTAGCTGCTAAGGGTGGAGTTAAGGAGGGACCCGTCGAGGGAAGGTCGGTCTCTCAGGTGTGGCAGGAAGTCAAGCACCCAGTCATCTTTCCCAGCCACCCCCCAACTCCCCAGATGCCCTCGGGTGTGCCATCCAGCGCGGCCACCCTCGGCCACACCCCGATCTACCTGGGTGTATACCATCCGGTAGGGTGGCCACTGACACCAGACCCTGGAGTCCTGGCCTTGTATAGAGCGTCTCGCCTCTTGGCCCCTGGCGGGTCGCAAATCCAGCATCCCTGGGCTGCAGTGGGCAGCAGCTGGAGTCCTAGGCCAGGGCCGGAGGGGACATCCCCCAGTTAACAGTGTCCTGAAGATTGCAAATTTTCCATGCAATTCTGCCTGGACTTTTTTTTTTTTTTTTTTTGAAACTTGGTGGCACCCCTTGTGGCAGCCCGGACCCCAGGCAGGGCCTCGAGGTGCTGGCAGTTTTGAACTCAGGCACCACCCCTGGCCCTTGGGCTGTGTGGCCTCAGGCCTGTCACCCACCCTCTCTGAGCCCTGTTTCTGTGTGGGTTGGAAGCCGAGGGAGGGGAGCGGAGAGGCGGAGGCCTGCAGGTGCAGCTTCAGGAATCCCATAGCGTCCTAAGCGGACTGCCAGCTGCACCTGCTTAGAGAAGGACCCCTGAACACCCTGTAGCCGTGTGGTGGGGCAGGAGCCACACAGCCCAGCCCCTCAGCACCCCCTAACCCTGCGCGTGCTGAGCGAGGCCTCGTCTGTGGGAGTGTAGTGCACCCTGCTGGCGGACTAGGGGAAGAGACACTCCAGCCACTGCGCCCCCCGAGGAGAGGATTGTCGCAGGAGGGCAGCTGCCCCTCCCCCAGGCCTGGCGCAGCCGAGACTGCAGCCCTGTGGCCCCCCACCGCACCCCACCCCCGCCTTTCAGCCTGTGGGACTTTGGCGGGATGCACAGACGGGGAATTTCTGCCTTTAATCTAAAGAGACAGAAACAAAACTCAGCAAGAAGCTGGGACACCCCCACCCCCACCCCATCCCACTCCCCAAACCCCTCTGGGTACAAAAGCCCCAGCCTGGCACCCTCCCTACTCTCCAGGACCCACACAGAACCCCAACAATTGGAGACCCGGCCAAGGTCTCAGGTCTGTGCCAGCGACAGCCGTGGGGGTCCCACCCGCTGGGCACAGTGCCCGCGGGAAGGCCAGCTGGACTGGGCACGGGGAGGGGGGATTACCACAGGAGAGAATGGGGGTGTGCCTTCTCCTCCTCCTCCTTCTGGGGGGGTGGCTGCCCATAGCCTGGCTCTTGGGGGGCTGGACATGAGGGGCCGGTGGGAGTGGGCGGGGTTTGCCCCGCTATTCTCAATATTGCTTTCTTTTTTCCCCCTTTTGATCTTGTAGTCTTGGTTCCTCTGATAAGATCGCTAAAAAGAAACAACAAAATGTAAAGAAGAGGTTCCTCAAAAGGGGGGGAGAAGAAATTTTGACACATGGAAAAATCCCCCAACCCAGCCCAGCCCAGCCCAGCCCAGCCCAGCCCAGTCCAGTCCCACCGAAAAAAAAAAAAAGCAAAAGCTCAAACGTCAGCGTCTTCAGCCATCCAGCCAGCCCTCCCTCCTCCAGCCCAGGAGCCCCCCGCAGCCCCCGAAGCACCCCAGTCCTCGGAGAACCCCCCCGGGAAGGGGTCTCGGGTGGAGCTGTGCCGCGGCCGCCACGCAGACAGAAACGTGCGCACGGACTCTGCCCGCGGGACGCCAGACAGCGAGGCCGTCCAGGGCGCACGGGCACCCCGCGAGCAGCGGGGCGCGGCCCCCATCCTACCCCTAGGCCTTCCCCCTGAGCAGGGAGCCCGGAGGACTGTCAACCTGCGGGCTCGTCCTTCTCATCACCCCTCGCCCTCCACACTCTGTCCCCCAACCTTTTGTCGGCGGCGGGCCTGGGCTGCGGGACCAGGCCTGGGAGGCACCGGAGTGGGCAGAGGCATCCTTTGGAGCCAAGTTGTACGAGCCCAGAACCGAGGGGATAGGGGTGGGGATGGAAGTGGAGCAGGGTGGGATGGGGTGGGCAGCAGTTCCAAGGACAAAGTCCGAATGCCCTCCCCGGCCCGTCCTTCGGCCCACGCGCGCCGCGCGCGAGGGACGGCAGTCGGGCCCCAGGTCACCACCTCTCCAAGCCCTGCATGCAGGCGCCCTTGCCCCCGCCGGCCCCTGCCCCTGGCGCAGACAGCCCTGCTGGGGCCGGGCCCAGGACAGGACGGGCGCAGACGGGGGAGCCGGGATCCGAGCGCGGAGGACGAGGCTGAGACGCTACCTGCGCGCCTAGGTAGGCGTCCCGCTCGCCGACTCTCAGTCCCTTCCGAGGGTGTGCGGTCGTTCCTTTTCGAAAGTGTTTCGCAGCTTTCTGTCCCCCTCCCCACTTTTTCCCACCCCCCTCACCCCTCTCTGGATGTTACCTGTACCGTCCTGTCCTCTTTATTTAGGGGTGGGGGGGCGGCATTCATTGTTGGGGTGTTTCGCTGTTATAATTGGGAACTCCTCCATTTGGGAACAATTTGGTAACACACCACAGGAAGTGGCTCTCGCCCCCAGCCCCTGCCTACCATCGCCCCCCCTACCCCAACAAGGGATGGGAGGGGGGGCCTGTCCAGAGGGTCTTCACACACACCATCACCACCCCCGCCCCAGGAGGGAGGGGAGCAGGAGCACTCCCAGCGTGCCCCCCCCCCCGGTGTGGTTCGCGCCCCTGGCTCGTCTTTCTGTGCCTTACTGCCTCCTCCGAGTCTCCCTCCGGCCCCTCCCCGGCCCACCCCCGTGCCTCTCTCTCTCTCTCTCTCTCTCTCTCTCTCTCTCTCTCTCTCTCTCTCTCTCCACTGTTTGGAAACACACAGCGCAGGTCAGGGTCCCCTGAACGTCAGCTCGTCTGTCTGACACAGCACGCGGAGGGCGGCCAACCTCTGGCCTTTATTTATTGTGAATCTGGCTGGTGGGGGTGGGGAGGGCGGGGAGGGGCGGATGGGAGGGTTAGGGTTAGGGAGGGAGGGGGACCCTCACCTGGGGCTCCATCCACCCCGAAGCCACGAGGTGGCCGGCCCCAGGGGCCCGCTTTGGATGGGAGTGGAGGGTGGTGGGGGTCCCTCGGGAGTCTTCCAGGGGAGCGGAGTGGGGGGTGGGGGGCCGGGCGTGACGCGCGGTCGGTCGAAGTGCAATGATTTTTTTTCAGTTCGGTTGGCTAAACAGGGTCAGAGCTGAGAGCGGAAGGAGGGTGGGGGGCCCCCCGGCCCGGCCTTGTGCGCCCCGTTTCCCTCAAGGACAATCGGGGCCCTCCGGGGAGGGGGACGCTGTGAGCCTGCGGAGGGGAGCTGGGGGTGTGGGGACACCCGCCCCGGTGGGGTCGGAAGCTGCAGGCCAGCTGGGCCCGGGTGGGGGACCCCCGCACCACCACTCACCCCGTCCTTCCCCAGTGCGCGGGCGAGGGCCGCGAGGGCGCCAGAAGCGGGGGGGGGGGGGAGGAGGTCGTTAGAAAAGGAAAAAAAAAAAAAAAAGAAAATACAAAAAAAAAGTAAAAAACCCACAAAATGTATATTGGGGGGAAATGAACTTTTTGTTTTCATTGAATCAAGTGCAATGCATCAGAGTTCTCCTATCTTTGTATGTTAAGAGATTAAGAAAAAAAAACATTCTATTTTTGTTGTAACGTCCTCACGGCTCTGGGGACGCTAAAAGAACCGGGCCTGCCCCGCCCTGCGCGGGAACAACGAAAACTGAGTGTTTGTTCCTTTTTTTTTTTTTTTTGTTCGTTTTCACTTTTTTTTTTTTTTAAGTCGTTTTCCTGCGTTGACGAGGATGGTCTGGGGTTTTTATTTGTTCATCGTTGGTTCTCGGTTTCGGTGGGAGGGCTGGAGGAAACGTACGACATCTCAGAGCTAACAGCAACAAAATGCCACCTCGACATAGTTTAGAAGAACAGCCAACACATGTTCAAAATGGGAAAGAACAAGAGAAAAAAAATTATTATAAAACTATTAAACAGAAACCCTGGTGCTTCTTACATGATAAGGTATGTTTTAAAGAAGAAGAAGAAGAAAAAAAAAAAGAAACCCCACAAACTGTTATACATAAGTTTATGACTTCAGTATCCTGTACTTGGAACAAACATTACCTTCTTGCTGAGTTTAACGGAACGGGACAGCGGCACGCGCCCGGCGGCTGGGCTGCTCTGGCCGCGGGTCTCCCCGGGCGCCCCCTCTTCCTGGGGGGAGCCCAGCGCCCCCTTTCCCGCCCCCACGGAGACGGGGGAGGGGTGCGGCGGGGGTGGGGAACCCGACCCTCCTCCTCCCCTCCCTCCACCCCACAGAGGTCCATGCCAACGAACAAACGCCCTCTCCCTTCCCCTCCCCGAGCGCCCTTCTTTGAGCCAGACGCCAACTTGACCCTCACCAGCATTATCAGGAGCGCGCTCTGCAAGTTGGTCGTTTTCCCCCCTACACACCCCCAACTCCAACCTCGCCCGCCCCGACCCCTCCCACATCACCCTCTCCCCTTCCCCACCGGGGGGGAGCACCTGCTAGGCTCGACGCTCCAGCACAGCCCCTGCCACAGGTGGATTCGCCCAGGCCCGCGCCCGCACGCAAGCACGCACACGGCCCTCCCCTGCACCCCGCGCACACGGCCCCGACGACTGCCTTACACACCCGACCCCCCTCGCGCTGGCCGGCCGACCTAGTGCCTTGTTCTCACCCCCGTGCTGGCGGAGCGGACGCCGCGCTCTGGGTCCCACAGGGGGCCGGGTGGCTTCAGACGACCCACGTCCCCTCCAACCCCGACCAACCAACCGCGCTGGACGGACCCTCACCCCCTTGCAACTCACACACACACACACACACACACGAGAGAAAAAAAAAATAGGAGCAATAAAGTAACGAGAACTTTTTCGTCTCCCTCCCCCCCAATCGAGAGCCCACAGGGCACCCCAGCTCCCTGCCTCTCTGCTCCCGCACCGTCGGGGCGCGCCCCCATCCTGCTCTCCATCCTCTTCCCTCCTATAAACCAGCCTGGGCCAGCCTCCCCCGACCCCTCCAACCTCCCTCGCCCCGGCCCCTTCCGGGAGATCCGTGCGCCCGACCAGCACCAGCATTGCGGACCCGCCAAGGCCGCCCGTCCCGTCAAACAAGTTTCTTCTTAGGCTAAGAAACGCAGTATATACGAGTATCTCTATATATAGTAACTAATGGATTTGGTGTGCTTTCCCCCTTAGCGTCCCGTCCCCTCTCCTCCTCTCTCCATCAGCCTGGTCTCCTCATCCCCTCCCTCCCATCCCGACTCTTCTCGGCCCCCCCCCCCCCGTCTCTGCACTGAGATACATAAGAAACAAGGGTAGTTTATGTCTGTTTTGTTTTCTGGGTTTTTCAGTGTCCTAGCGGAATGCAAGTAGACAACCAAACCTCTCTGTTCCCTCCCGCCCCGCCCCGCCCCGCCCCCGTCACTGCGCTTCTGTTACACCATCTTTGCCTGACTTTCTCCGGCTTCTCCATTGAATGGCTAATGTGTATGTGAAATAAAGAAATAAAAGACAAACAAAAACGACAGCGCCTCATCTTTGGCTAACGCGACATGCGGAGTGGGAGTTGGGGGGCTCCTTCCCTTTCCCGCCTTCACCCTTGGGGGCTGGGAGGGGGCGAACGGGAGGGGGCACCCCTTCCTCGGCCCTGCGTCTCCCCCCACCACCACCACCACCACCGAGACCCCAGCTCCGGGTGGGATGGGGGAGAAAAGAGAAGTACCACTTAGGTCCAACGATTGCTCTGCCGTGTTGAGACGGGGACGCGGGCATGGACACTTCCAGCGCGCAGTGGGTAATTTAAAACGTCTGCGGGGACGGAGCCATCCAGGACCCCCCCAATTCCCAATGGAGGCACGTCCTCACCGGCCCTCTTCAGTCTATGAGGGGGAGGGGAGGTTTGCATTCCTGAGCAGGTGCAGCTCATCTTTGGCCCTAGGCTCCACGGCCTCGGGCTGGGTTCCTCCCCCTCGTCCCGGGGCCCGCAGGCTCAGAGCTGCCGCCGCCGGCCCCGCAGGGTCATCGCACCTCCGGACTCAGAGCCGCCTGTTCCATCTTGATGGCCAGGGCTCCCGCACCACCGGGGCTGCCGTCGAGGTCCGCGGGGGGCGCGGGCTGCGTGCGCGCAGCAGCCACCGTGGCCTCCTCCGCTCTGCGTGCCGAGCCGCCTCGAGGCGCAGCCCGTTTGCGGGGCCCCGACGGGGCGGCCGCCAGAGAAGCCGCCTGGTCGCGCAGCAGCCGCACCAGGAAGCCAATGTATTTCATGGCCAGGCGGAGCACCTCGTTCTTGCTCAGCTTCCGGTCGGGCGGGTGAGTGGGCAGGAGTTTCCTGAGCTCGGCAAAGGCGCCATTCACGTTCTGCTG